GCGGGTTAAGTTCTGGCAGGCTGGATTTGACTTTTGGGGTGTGTTGGATACCCTGCAGAAGGCAGTTTATCTAGACATTCCTGCCACTAGTCTGTTGACTGTAATACCTTATTGAAACAAAGATAAAACATTGCTGTGGTCAATGGTTAACATGCACACCTGCTTGTATGCACCTGGTACACTATTATTACTCTGAAAGAACCATTAGGATATAGTTTTTACACTGAGCCTCCACTCTTAGACATGAGAGCCGGCAAAAGGTCATGTTAACACTTAGGGCAATTCTTTGCATAGGTTTATGAAGTGTTTCGTGGGTTTATTATTGGGGGAGTAGAAAATTCTGCTTTGTGTGTTTATATGCATGTGTTTCTTAATGAGCTAGTCATTTTTTTCGGTGAAAAAGTTGAGATGATTCCAACACAAGATGTAAGAGACTGGGAATGTGTTCTTGTCTAGCTCTAAGAGGTTGAAAAGTAACTTTATTTAGAATAATGTTTCCCTTCCTAGAAACTGAGTATTTGTCAACAAGATAATATATTTGTCTTATGAAATTTGTGTTATATTGGTGTATGCAGTAGCTTTGAATCTTAAGATTCCTTCTTAAAAGTTAAGAAAATGGAAAGCTGATACAGCTTTTGATGAAATTTAGAGTAAATAAGTTTTATGGAGGGTAGCCCATGCTTACTTAACATTCTATGTGCAGGTAATTAATTGGTGATAATCAAGTTCAGATGACTTGAAGTTTAACACAAGTATTTTTTTGACTAGGAGAGTACTTCAGTTGTTTCCTAAATAAAATGTGCTTTGAGAAATCCCTTTTTTTTATGTCTGCCTACTTGCCCACGACTGTTGTGCAAGTAGTACTCAGCTCTGTGAAAATCCTGATTAACAGAGACTGGCCTATTTGGCAGTGATTAGCAGGTGAAACAATACCTTCCTTAAGAGGTGCAGAAGTGATAAGCCTATCATGTTTGGGGTCTGGGAGTACAGGTTAAGTAAAATACCTCTGAGTTTTTCTTTCCTCTTTTGTAGTAAGACAATGAAAGCAAACTCTGAGTGAAATCATCACTGACTGCTGTACCACATTCAGTATGGGCATATCATTCCATTTAAAAAACCAACCAAACAACAAAGGTACTTGACACTTTAAAAATGCTTCTCTGATTTCCATTTTGAAAGCCAGAAACTTCTTCTGCCCTCATCCATTAAAACCTGTTTTACTGTTCCCAGCGCATGTTTTCTCTGATGGTCAGAGACTTCTGCCTGGCAAAATGGCCACACCGACTGGTTTGTTAAGCCATGTCCAGACAGGCATGGCATTGCCTGAAAACTCGGGGGAGGTATTACCTGATAATGTCCTGTCACCTCTGGTGCTTTGTTCATGATAGCTTGCAGAGGAATAAATGCAGGTTCTAGCATGAAAACTGGCCCTCTTAAGTTGTTTCATCCTGCAGATAACAGGCCTGTCTTCCTGCTCTTCATTGATTTAATTCTACTCAGTCATTCTCCAACTGGTTTTGTGAACTGCAGCACGGTCTGTTCGCAACCATTTGATCTAATAGGCTGTGATGAGGGTTTGGTACTTGAAAAACCTTTTTGTCAGAGCTGATGACAGTGGCTAATCAACGATTCATAAACACTTTCTTCAAAGTAGTATTTGGTCTTCTCCCCGAGCAGAGTACAGTATGTCGAACAAAGGGTGAGTGCATAGGTGCATCTTCTCACCTTCAGTCTGCCCATAGGTCTGCTTTGCCCTGGTAGCCATAGGTGGCTGCACTAAGTGGGTAAGGTGTGTGGTGGCCCCCTCAGTCTGGGTGTCAGCCTGGGGACTGAAAAAAATCCTTCCTTCCCCCAAACACCTCTACACTTCAGGATAGCAGCTTTGAAGCTTGTGTTCTCTTTTGCCTTGTAGTTTTGGTAAATATCCCCATGTCCCCACCCAAGTCCTGATTAATGGATTAAGTGAAGTGATGGGCAGATGAGCAGTACTGCTAAACTGTTTCCCTGCTGTTCTCTGGCAGTCTTTCAGTATGTCTTAACAGAGCATCTGATGCTCTGTGTATTCATTCTCCATTGTTCCTTTTGCTGTTGGTTTGTTTCTTTTTAAAAAATGATGCATCCAGTCATATTGAAAAATAAAAGACTGCTCCTCTATGCAGGCTCCCAGTATGATATCAAGCTGCTCAAAGTTCTTGCTTCTTCCTGGTTTTCTCAATCTAAAAATTTGATTGGCTTAGTAAATCCATCCCCCAAAAAGTGAGATACAAATCTGTTCCTCAAAGACATATCAGGAGCTCGGGGACATCAGTTGTCTGGTTCTAATGCTGTAATGAGAAACTTCGCAAAAAGCTGAAGCTATTCAGAAGGATCTGAAAGCTGTACTTATGTAAAATCATGGCTTCTGTCAGAACCTGAAATAAATAATAAAAGCCACGCAGGAGGCGGAAGGAGCCTCTGAAGTACAAATGCCCTGGGTAGAACAGGTACGGAGACAAGGCAGGAGAACAACTGAAAATAATTGAAAATAACCACCTTTGCTTAGAGTTAAATTCTCAGTGAATCCAGCTGATTTAGCTGTGAGGCAGGAGGGGGCAAGTTAACTACTGGTAGCTGGCATAAGGTCACTGGACGCTTTCTAAAAAGGATACTATACAGCAGTTACTTTCAGACTTTTTCAATTTAGAGATCCCTTCAAAGCAAACTTGGCTCATATCTGCTGTTCCTTCATGGTTACTAGGAGCTGACTGGTCTAATGGACTGAAATAATTGAGGAACAAATTAGAGCTGAGACAGTCCTGTGCATCTCACACAAAAGATAGAATAAGGGATGGGCTCTATTTCTTCTTGGTTTTAGCTTTGGAGAGTTGAAGAAGAGCAAACAGGTTCAATAAGGCTGAGGTAAGCTGTTCTAACACTTTCAGGATATGGTTCTGTATAAAATCCATCATGTACTTGGGTAACACCTTCAGTTCTTACTATTGAATAGGGTGTGCTCCCAGAAATAATGGTACTATAAATACTAATACTTGCTTTATGGAAGAAGGATGTTCACGTGTATCCTTCCTAGGAATTTTACTCTTGAGTGGTTCTGTACAGAGAATCAAAACAAATTGTAAACCTGTAAACAAAAATCTATGTAAACATAGCTTCCGCAATACATGTGATTCCTGCTTAAAAAAAAAATATGGGGCAAACAAGTTCTATTATTTTAAATTTAGGGTAGCTGTTTAGTACTTTCCATAAATGAAAACTAGTAACAATGAAGTACTGAAGATTGCCATAAATAAATACAAGTTTTATCTGGAAAGAAAAGTCACTTCTGAGAGACAGCTGAATTGTATTTTTGATTACACTTCAATGTCTTGATCCATATCTTGCAGGAGACATATTCAATGATCTTCTTTTTTTTATCTTGTCATAGTAGATCTCTTAGTAGAGCTCCGTTAAGGGATCTGGTTTTATAGCATCTGCTTCCTCATCTGATAAAAACTGATAATTAGTTTTGTTTTCAAGGTTTTATACATACGTGATTCAGAGTGATTCCCATGTCAGCAGGCTTTAATGTGGAAGGGCTAATTCATATCACAAGTGAGTGAGAAGCAGTACCAGAAAGGCAGGAGGGAAAGCATCCACTGAGGATCATAGTGATTTGCAGAGATGTCTTCTTCCTGTAGGAGTAATAAACTTGTTTGCATCGTGACTGAATTGCACGTGGTCTTGCAGTGTCTTCTTACCAACATAAAACCTTGTTTCTAAGTGTGTTGCCCATCCCTAAGGAAGAGTTCCAACATGATTAGCGATGTGCAGTCACATCTTTTGAGTAAGACAATAAATGCTCTTCTATCACAAGTAAAGACCACGTATATGGTCCAGCGCTCAAATGTTCCAGGAAGGTTGCAGTCTTCTGATCTTGTTTTAGTGATAGCAGGATATATGTTTAAAGAAATTTTCTGTACTAAGAGAAAATGTTTTGTGGCAGAAACAATTGTGACTTTCATCTGGTTTGATCAGGATTCATTTCACCTCTTTTTAGCAACTTAATGGAGCTGCTTAAGTGAGAAGCTGTGCTTCTGGTAGGAACCTGTCTGATGGATGACAGCAAATCCTACCTAAAGGAGAGTCAGCCCAGTAACCCAGAGCTGTGCTCTGACAGGCCCGCCTTCTTTCATTAGCTATGTACAAAGGCTGCTGCAAGTAGGGTGACTAATTATGTGTCTGTAGCTAGATGTGATGAATCTGGGCATGTGACTATTTCTGATAGGCAGGAGAAATTGTAGAGCTCTGTTAGGTGATAATACATAACAAAATTGCTTTATTTGCTATTAGAAAGTTCTTCAGAGTTGGTGAGTTGACCTAAAGTGTTTTTTCAGTTTTGTCCTTTGGCAGGGAATAAGCATGTGGTTGTGGTGATTATAGTTCTTCAGTTGAATCTGTTGGTATTAAAGATACAAGGCAACCATGAAAGATGTGTGAAGAGAACGATACTTTAAATGCAAGTTTAATTTCTTGCCCTTCCTTGAGAAATTGTTTTGGTTGTTTGAACCTATTCTGCTCCCAGGTGGCTAGGCGCTCTTTCACGGCTGAATTATGCCTGTGTGGACAACTAATGCATTGGCACCAATAACTGAGTACTCACAAGGCCCTAGTTATTCTCCAAATCAAAGGAGAAGATAATGAAGAAAGTTATAACATGACTGGTGTGATCAGGGTGGTAATTTGCAAAGGTGATGTCAAAATAAAGTCGTTAGTGGTATTGCATGATGCATAGGCGCTTGCTTTTATAAAGTATTGCATGAGGGTTCATCCTGCAGATTTTGAGTGCAAGTGGTCATTAGTGTGTGACACCTAGCTTGTCTAAATAGCAAAGCCATTGTCCTCTTGTCACATTTAATTTTCAAATACATCATTTAGTAAACACAGTAATATGGATATCAAAATATGGATTTTTTTCACACTTAAAAAGGGTGAACAAAATTTATGAATTACTTTTTTTAGGAGAATTACTGAAGTTTGGATTGCTATCTTGATACTGTAAACCTGCAATAAGTGGCAATGTCAAGGGTTCCCACCCCACCTCCTCCTGGGGAGATGTCCAGTGGACCTGTGGCTGAAAGCTGGTGTTACACACAGGTAATCTACATAAATTCCAATGGCTTTATTTTCTAGTCATAATTATAATTTAAAAAAAATACCTAAGTTTATTGAGTTGTGCTGACAGTTTAACTAGTGCTCATAGTTAATGCTTGATATTTAAGTTAAATTTTATTGACATTTTCTACATCTTTTGTTCAGGTTAAAGTAGTAAAATTTTCCTACATGTGGACCATTAATAACTTCAGTTTTTGCCGAGAAGAAATGGGTGAAGTTTTAAAGAGTTCTACCTTTTCATCAGGGCCAAATGATAAAATGAAGTGGTAAGGTCTTTATTCTAGCAACTCTGTATTGTTTTTTTCCACTCACAAAGTTATAAAGCTAAATTGCAAATAAATGTTAAAACTCGGACATTTTTTGAAGTTTACTGTAGGTACGGATTGGTTCTAATTTCAAAGTTTCAACAGTCGTAAGGGAAACATTTGTTTTGGTATCATTGTATCTTATAAAAATATTTTTGAATTTATTCTGGGTATGGTTTAAAATGTACAATTTCTGCATTTCTTTCAGGTGCCTGAGAGTGAATCCAAAGGGATTAGACGATGAAAGCAAAGACTACCTGTCATTATATTTGCTTTTAGTCAGTTGTCCAAAAAGTGAAGTCAGAGCAAAATTCAAATTTTCCCTGCTGAATGCTAAAAGAGAAGAAACAAAAGCAATGGGTAAGGGAATCTTAATGTATTGCATGTGGATTTGCAAGAACATTCCCCAAAAAAATCAATGTTGTAATTTTTTTCAGTTGAGAACAGAATTTAATATTGAGATAAACTTTAAAATATCTCTTTTTAATATCCTTTTAGAAACATAATTAAAAATCTTGTTCATGTTTCATACATTTCTGATCACTGAGTTATGTTAATTCTATCCTGAGCAGTATAAATTACAGCGTATTACTAACTGTTGTCACTCCAGATTCTTGTCACTTAGCTTTTCTAGCAGATTGTTCTTGCTTCCTGTTAGTAGGGGCGTACTTGCTTGTTTCTAGCTACAGTGGAAGTAAGTGTTTGATTTCCATAGTTAATTAGGATAAACATGCATGGTTGTGTTTTCAGACACTCCTTTACAGTGTTTTGGTCTATTTCATCTGCTTTACACTGTAATCAGTTTAAAAACATGAGCCATGTACCCAAGGAATTGGAAGACTTTGAAATAATTGGTGATTTGATTTAATTGCCTTCTTGATATGAAAACTGTATGGGCTCTTAGTTTCAAACTTAAAAGCACAGCCTTCATTGGAAACACTTTTTGTGAAAGCTGCAATTCTCATGAAAATGTGTAATTTAATACTGCTCTGCACTGAGTTTGTGCTGTTGCTAGCCCTGTATATGAAGAATCTGTCTACTTTTCTTCCCTCCTCCTACTCCAGGACTTGAGAGATCTTGCAGGGTCTGTTCTGTTGCAAGTTCTGAATTTCTTGGAAGAATCTATAGTTCTCCAGTACTCATACCCAAAGTTCATGCTACTTTCTCCTTATGTATCTAGGCCTACTTGTAATCTTTGAAGTAAATCCACAAAACCGAGTTCAAATCTAAAAATTAAATGGTTGGACTTTTTGGAAGGAAAGTAAATGCATATATTTCACTTTGTCCTCTTCCACTGATGGAGTTGGTTGCTTCAATCCCTGCAAGACTCCTGGTTCTGGAGCTTATGTGAACAAAACTTCACTTTTATACATTTGGTGGATCATGGCTTTTGGCTTGAGACAGCCTTCCAGTCCAGTAGTGGATTGGTGTATGCAATTAAATGGAACTGCGGTGTGTGCATTAAAAAATATTTTGATAATCATAGAATCACAGAATTGCTGAGGTTGTAAGGGACTTCTGGAGGTTGTCTAGCCCAAACCCCCTGCTGAAAGCCAGGTCAACTAGAGCGGTTTGCTTGGAACCTTGTGCTTTGAATATCTCCAAGGATGGAGACTCCACAACTTACCTGGGCAATGTGTTCTAGTGCTTAACTAGATGCTGCTGGTCCTCTTTTGCCTTAAAGGTTCGTTGCTGGCTCTTGTTTGTTTGTTGTCCACCAGGATCCCAATCATCAGTCATCTATTTTCTTCCTGATCAGTAGGTGTATAGCAGACACTGAGCACAGCATTGCTCCTGTTGGCCTACCCTCTAATCCGGACCCATAAATCCTCAGCTGGCTCATTGTCCATTTCAAGGCAGAGCTCTGCACACTCCTGCTGTTCTCACGTAAAGGGCAGCTCCCTCGCCTCACCTTCCTGGCCTGGCTTCCCGAAAGAGCCTGTACTTGTCCACGGCAGCACTCCAGCCACATATCCCACCATGTCTCTGTGAGGCCAAGGGAGATTGTAGCCCTGCAACTGCACACAGAACTTGAATTCCTCCTGTTTCGTCCCCATGCTGTGTACATGAGTTTACAGGCGCTTCAGAGAGGCACTCCTGAAGATTATTTGTTAAGCGTTACTTTAAATGCTAAAAATCACAAGCTGCTAAAGCCCCCAAATCCCATGAGTAGATGTGTCTTCGGTTTCTGCAATAGTAGTTGTCCTGTATTTGGCACTACAGGAATTATAAACATCTTTTTATTTTGGGAAATTGCCAGCAGAAATCTTATTTCTTGGACTTTCTAGCCATTTACCATCTGCTTCTGGAGATGCTGTGTTTTTATTTATACAGTATAATGATGCCTCACTTCAGATGTCCTTTGTAAATTGGTAATTCATGCATAGGCTGCTGTTTCAAGTGATGAAGCTGTGTATAAAATAGGTAACGAACTAACATTTGTAACTTTATTAGAAGAAAAATACATTTACACTTTTTTGCTGCTTTATTTTTGTGGTTTTGTGTATTTAAATTACTACTGATCACTTAATTTCAGCAGGTTAACACTGGTTGCTGATAGTAGTAAAATCTAAGTCTGCACAATAAAGAATTGGGCTGAATCTACAGAAGAATTTTTTACCCATTTCTTAAAATGCCATTTTCTGATTTGATTTTTTTCATTCAATTTCATGAGGTTTGTTGTGAGTTTTTGGCAAGTTGGTAAAAATGTGAAAACACTAGTCCAGATGCCAAACAGTATTTTTTAAAATGGCAGTTTTTCTTCCTTGGCATACAGATTTAAAAATGTGAACAGTGTTCTATGTTTGTTCTGTTGTCCTCAAAGCCCACGCTGCACTTCAGTAAGTGCATTTCCCTCTGCTTCTGTGCTTGTCGTGGTTTAACCTCAGCCGGCAGCCAAGCACTGCCCAGCCGCTCACTCGCCTCCCCTGCGGTGGGACGGGGGAGAGAATCGGAAGGGTAAAAGTGAGAAAACTTGTGGGTTCAGATAAAGACAGTTTAATAGGGAAAGCAAAAGCCGTGCACGCGAGCAAAGCAAACTGAGGAATTCATTCAGCAGTTCCCATGGGCAGGCAGGTGTTCAGCCATCTCCAGGACAGCAGGGCTCCATCATGCCTGACGGTGACTTGGGAAGACAAACGCCATCGCTCCCAATGTCCCCCCTTCCTCCTTCTTCCCCCAGCTTTATGTGCTGATCATGACGTCCTATGGTCTGGGATATCCCTTGGGTCAGTTGGGGTCAGCTGTCCCGGCTGTGTCCCCTCCAACTCCTTGTGCCCCCCCAGCATCCTCGCTGGTGGGGTGGGGGGAGAAGCAGAAAAGCCCTTGGCCCTGGGTAAGCACTGCTCAGCAGTAACGAAAACATCCCTGGGTTATCAGCACTGTTATCAGCACAAATCCAAAACACAGCCCCATGCTACGTGCTATGAGAAAAATTAACTTTACTTCAGCCAAAACCAGCACAGCTCTGCATGGGTGAAGGGTTTTTTGTTTGAATTATGTGACTGTGATAAGGTGAAAGGGATAGACACACCTCCTGCATTGTCAGTTCCTGGGTTGTTCTTTGTATTAAAAAAATACAATCAAAACCTGCAAAACATATTTTGCTTGATCTAATTCTGGTGAAAAGCTGTTATGAATATAATTTCTCCAGCTATTGGCAGTGAGGACAAAATATTATACATGTATGTTTTCGAACATACACAGTGTGTTATGTGGTCAAGTCTGTTTCAGTGATGCTGCTAAGTTAACCAGTGTAGGGAAGTCTCACTTTCCTGATGTCTTTATTTTGGACATTGTAGAAATGGTATTTTAACAGATTCTGTCATGAAAAATACTTGCTTTTATAACAAACTTCTGGAGAGCAATTTAGAAGTTGAATTCAGAAGGCTAGTATCTATCTATACAGCATATGAAATGGTGACATGTTTCTTGCCCAGCTTTTTTGAAATGAAAGCTCTTAGAGAACTATTCTGGAGATTCCTCCCCTCCCAGTCTTATTTCAGAAGTATTCTTGCTCTCTGTTTTGAACGATCTTTCTAAATATTCACAATATGGTTTATTCTACATATATTCTCAAAGCCATTCCCAAATAACCTCCTTCCCATGTTTTAGTTCCATGTAAAAGTATATGGTGTTCTTTCCTGTGGTTCAGTTTGTGGAACAAGTGGCCACCTTACAGTAAACCTGCAATGTAAAATAGCTAATCTTACTGAATTACATGTATTTGCACTAATATGACCTTGGGAACCCTTTTGCTGGGCTGTGACCATTCAAACTGGAAAAAAAGGGTTGTGTGGTCACAGCAAATCTGATGGATTAAAAAAAAAATTCTCATAACTATGGCTAAAAATGAAAATATAAACAATATCTTTTTATCACCAAAAAAGTAGTTTGTTACTGAAAGCTTTTATTTCTGTTTTTCTTTTTTAATGCTTTTGCTGTATTTCAAAATAATTTCAACCTGTGAAACAAGATTTTCCATTTCAGGAAGAAGTCAAAACAGATTTTTATGACAACTGCAGAAGTGTCAGAATGCATTTGTGATGACAAATTCATTGTAATGGTACTTCCCTGTGAACAATTTCTGTTTTGACACATTGGCATTGCTAAACATTAACTGAAAAACTCCTCTCTTGCTGGATGGTGCCTAAGATAACATCTAAGGAGATTATATCGTTTGAATTGCAAATTGTGCTCTACTAACTTCTATCGAGTGTTTTATAAAATAACACTATTATAACATTTAGAAAACCCAGAACTGATTAAAACTTTTTTTAAAATGACACATGATCCAAATGTGTTAAATTGATTCATTTTTTGATTAACACTTAGCCTTAGTATAGAATTCAAGTGTTGTTATTTGTTAATATTTTTATTTAACTTGCTTATTTGTACATAACTGTTTTTTATCAGAAAGCCAAAGAGCATATCGATTTGTGCAAGGCAAGGACTGGGGTTTTAAGAAATTCATCCGAAGAGATTTTTTACTGGATGAAGCTAATGGTCTTCTACCAGATGACAAGCTCACGTTATTTTGTGAGGTGGGTATAAGTTTTTAAGTGGTAAACTTTTAACACAAAATGTTTTCTGCTCTAATGAATAGATGTTTATGTTGATTTAAACAGTAATATGCTATAAAAGTTGTCTTCTGTTAGCTATAAAAATGGTAAAATACACATTTACTTGCTTTGTCTGCATTGTATTTTGTTTTCTTTTTTGATACGCTTATACTGAAGTGTAGAATGAGTCTGAATTGATCACTTGTAAACTGTTGGGCTTTTCCATTAATCTGCCAGGATTACATTAGAATCGACTGTAGAATTATTTATGCAAAAGGTGGCTGGTACGTGCTGTCTGCAGAAGTACTGTTTTACTGAGGTCACTTTTATTTAAAGAAGTTGTATTTGGAATTATAGGATTGTTTTTCACTGGATAAGCAAAAGGAAATGTCTACATGCTGGTTCACATTATTTAAAAAAAACTAATTGTCAGAATCTATATTCCTGTAATATTATAATCGATGGCTTTGACCAATTAACAGGTCTTTCCAGTAAATGAAACAGTTTATTTTTATAGTTAATTGTTACATTTTGTTTTCTGAACAAATGCAAGTATCCTGTAGAAGCACTGCCTAATACTGAGAATTAATATCAAGAGCTGTGGTGCAAATTTAATGTTATGGTGTATTATGGGTCACTTTTATGATATCAGTTATGTTGGTAACCTAAATTGTCATATTAAAATTCAGTAAAACGCTTACACAATGTTAAAAATGGAAACTAGAGAAAGTTGCAGTGTAAGTACGGTGTATGTTAAATATACATTGGCTGGTTATCTTTGCTGCCATAAAGTGATTAGTGACTTAGGAGGATGATAGATGCTCTAACTGCTAATAACTTTGCTTTGATCTGTGTATTTACAGGAAATGTGTAAAATTGTCTTGGCAAGATTACAATTTAATTATATGTCATTATGCTGTGTAGGAAGAATAATTGAAATGTGGCCCCTGAGACTAGATATTGCAAATATAGTGCATCTTATTTTCACTTAAGTTAAATTAGCTGCATGATAAATTTGTTATGAATACAATTATTTGGGTGATAAAAGCAGATGTAACAAGTTTTTTATGGTTCTATAAAGATACTTTTGAGTATTTCCTCATTTTAAGTTTTCCTCATAATGAATACTTTGATGTAAATGAACAGCTCTTCCGAAAACAAATACTATTTTGAAATAGGTCACTATCTAATTTTTATGTATAAAGTTTGGTTTAAAAAAAAAAAATTGAACTAATACTGAATTTTCCAGAGAGAAATATTATTTAAATTTTGATGCTAATCTTTAAATACAACTGTTTCCCTACAAAACTTCTCGATATTTTAATCTGAGTGGCTTTTGTGAAGTGTTTGACCTACCCTGATTATAAATGCTGAAGGAAGTACAACATGTAGTTATGCACAGTGAGAATGTTAAAATAAATTCTGGCTTGTTCCAGGCTAAAGCAAACAAAATTGGAAATCCAAATAATTTTAAAATTTGTTTATTCTGATGTGTTCTTCTAGCTATTCAGCTGTCATTAGAAGTAACAGGTGTTGTTAGAAGGACCTGTTTCTATAGACAAGTCTGAAGTTTTTGTCCTTTTAAAACTTAACTGTAAGTTCTAATTTCCGTGTTTGCCTTCCTACTTGTTATCCTAGTTGGAAGAGTGACTTAACCACTTTTTAAAACTGTATTGCACTTGGCTTGATGAAGCTTAATGGATACAGCTAGTATTTAGTAAAGGTCACTGAGTACCAACTGTGCTGGTTGGGTTGTCTTTTCTCCCTGTTGGGTTGCAGAAGGATTATTTGGTCTTCCATAGCAGCAAAGGTATTCTTTTTATGTTGCCAGATGTTCTTAAGGTCAGTTGGATATGTCCTTGGATTGGAAACTGAAGGTTAAACACTTTACAAAGTCTAGTGTTGCCACTGGCAAGTGACCTATTGATTCAATACGACATCATAATTTTATTTTTTCAAGCAAACTGATCTGTTTCATTCAGTTCTCACTTTCCATATAATCTGAAATTGCTGAAGCCTTGAAGTATTTTAATTTGCTAATAGAATAGTAGATTGTCTGCAGGAATGTTTTTCCTACAGATCTCTTTCACAGATCTCTTACCTAGTTTAGGTTGGGAGAATAGTCTAGAGTATCACTTACATCATCTTTACTATTAGACCTCCACAGACTCAGACCCAAGAAAATGATACATATTATCCATGTTAACTGTCATCACAGGCAGAACTTGTTCAAGTCCTAGTTTATACATTTTTATATACCCTTACACACGAAGGTGTGCAATGCAAACAGGGCCTGTGCCCCTAAAGTATGTATGCCGTGCAAAAGCTGCATGTTTGATAGCTTCCTAAGAAGTAAAGTAAATCAGACCTTGTGGAGTACCTGGAAATCCTGGCTAGATTGCTACCACTCTTTAAGATAGGTTGTTTGCTCTTAGTTCTAGCATCTTCTCATCATCCTGCAGTTTAGTGAAGAAATACCTTCACTCTTGCGAGTGATTTTATAATCACAACTCTAAGGTGCCTGAAGTAAGGATTTGTATCAGGTGTTGAGACAATCATAAAACATTCACTTTTAGCCTAAGATGAGTTTTCAATAGTTAGGTGGGATTAACTTGATTGGATTTCAGCTTGATTTAAATACATTAAAAAAAGAGAATGCACTTGATTTTTAAACATACCATCTGGACAAGTGACATATGAAATACCAGACCCCTCTAAGTGTTTGTATTTAGAATCTTTAAAAGTTGTTACTATCTATAGACAATGCATGCCAGGCCACTCAGCTGTAGGAGACTTGAATTAAAATTTGGCTTTGATTATATCTTAAAAGGATGGCTTATAGCAAATTGTGTTGCACGACTATCAATATATATTAGAAACCATTCTAAAATAGAAGCTTGGAACATCAGAGATCAGTTTATGTACACGTAAAGAATGGCGTAGGTGACCTTCCTAGGCACTGTCTATAGCTAACAAGGATGCTGTGTGGACAACTCGGATCGTGAACTGAGTCAAGTCTCTGGAGAAGCAGAACTCTCCTTTGCAAACAGAAGATTAGCTTTGCTAAGCTGTAACTCCATTTGTGTGTATGTATATCTCCTGAAATCACTCTGTGTGTATGAAAACTGTGAAACAGAGTACACAATAGCTCTATAGATTTTTCAATCTTATGAATGTATAGTCTTATTTTGAAAATGAAATTTTGCAGTGCTTTGGGGTATTTTTTTTTCCTTTAAAAGGTGGAAGAATATAAAGGAATTTCTTATAATCACAAGGTGGTATGGGATGAAACAGGGAATTAGGCAATGATTCAAATCCCCAAGCTGCTGTTTTAATTGGATCATCCTCCTCTTCTGATCTGGAGTTTGGTTTGCAGTGCTCTGACTTTCTGTGAAGCTAAGCTGTGCTATTTTTGCTTTATGCCAGATTTATTCCAGATGCTGTACCTCTGGAAATCAAAGCACTGATCTTAACAGTATCAGCATTTTCTCTTAATATATAATCCTTATTTTCTGTATTTGGGGGATCCAGTGATCAAGATCTTGTAGTATGGCTCTTTTCTTCATTATGAAGGTTTTATTCTCAGGTGTGTGCTCTTGGACAACAGAAGTAAAATCTGCAGAGCTCTTCTGTTTTCCCAACATACTGATTAAAAGGACTTAATATGTAAAGATATCTGAAAAAAGCAAGTAAGAATGCTACTGTCCTGTTTACTATGTATGTGAAAGACTTAAACATGGGGAATAATAGCAGTATATTCACATCAGATGCACATATTTCACAGCTTTCTTAACTAGTTCTGTACAAAAAAGACATCCTGTGAGCATGCATTTCATTATTGAAGTTACTTACCCACTACATCGTATATTTCATTGACTTATATTTCTGAAATAATGACTTTTAATCTTGTTTGGAAGACAATCACTTGTGATTCCTGCCTCAGGTGGACATGGTAAAATGAAATAATGAAGAAGCTATGTTACTTGCACTTAGTTTGCATTATCACATTGCAGGTTAAGTATGAACTTACTGTAATTAAAATTAGGAATATCATACTAATCAAAACTTCTGTACTTTTCTGTCACCTTGTGATCCCGATGATCTGTTTCAAACTTTATATTGTATATATTTTACTTAAATGTGTGAAGAGTATTGAACTGTTAATTTATCTCTGAAACAGCATTAACTTTTATTTTTTGATCCCACTGGTATCCCAAGAACCATATCTGTCCTTGACTTATTTACTTTGGCATTTCTATCAGGTGGCATGTGGTATTGTGCTCTTTCTTTTTGTTTTGATTGGATAAATACACAATGTTACAGTCTCTAAGTAAAGCCCTATTTGTTTTATGTTACTTAAAAGTAAACTGTAAACCATTAGTTTATGGTTCTGGCCTAATGCCAGAAACACCACTGTTTTTGCTTTGCAATTGCTGAACTTCTAGCAATAGGTACTGTAATTTAATTATTGGCATTCAGTTATGAAGGAGTTGTCTTGCTGTGATTTTCTGTTAGGTAAGCGTGGTCCAAGACTCAGTAAATATATCAGGACAGTCTAATACAAACACTTTGAAGGTACCTGAATGTCGACTAGCAGAAGATTTAGGGAATCTCTGGGAAACAACAAGATTTACAGATTGCAGTTTTTATGTAGGAGGACAAGAATTCAAAGCTCATAAATCTGTCCTTGCAGGTACTTTCTACTTTTGTATTGCTATTATTTTGTAAATAAAATTGCTAAAAGTTTAAAATTTGATTATATTTAACATTTACTTTTCTTGCTACAGCACGATCTCCAGTTTTTAATGCAATGTTTGAACATGAAATGGAGGAAAGCAAAAAGGTAAGCCTTACTGAAAACTTTACATGTAAATATTTGTATGTTGTGAAAAAGGGAAAAGTTGCAGAAAACTTTAAGTATTGTAAATTGAGGAAGGTAAGTACTGCGTGATGGTGCATGAGTGGAGGAGGTGCTACTCCTGAATGCTCTCCTGGTGAGTTCTGTGGGAGTTTGTTTGTGTAGAAGGAACAGATAGGGCTGACTGTGGAGAGGTTCTGGAGGATTTGTTCTTTCAAGTACTTGTATCTGCCCTAGATCTTTTTTTTTTTTGTAACATTGGCTACTGATGTAATTAACCTAGTAATCTCTGCCCCTGTTTGCTTTAGTTTATACCTTCACATAAGCTGATTGGCTTGAGTAAGGTTTTGCTATAATGTATGGTAGCTAGGACACAAAGAAACAACAGGTGAATTATGACTCAAATTAAGCCCTGAGGCAGTGAAGCAGTCCTTTCCATTCACAGTTTCTGCAGGCACTTGACCTGTGTAAGTGTTTTGGATGGATAGTTAATCAGCACAGAGAGCTGCTTCTGCTTTTTTGCGCTTGGTATCTCCCACAGTGAGGAGGCGTTTGTCTTTCGTGAAGAAGAATATCTAAAATGGGTTGATTATAGGCAGAATCCATGAAAAGGCATGGAACTGATCAGCTCACTAAAGGATTGTAATAGATGATCATCACTTAGTCTTGGAGGCTGCAAGAATGCCACTTGTGTGAACAAATACATCAGATGAATATGGTGCTGTAGTATGATTGAGCTTCATAAACATGGCATTTTTCTTCCTGGCACTTCTCCAATCTGGAAACTTTCACAGGTAGAATTGTGGAATATTGGAAGCATTTTATTGGCATTTCTGGACTGAAAGAAACCCAGACATGTCCCAGCTCCAGTAATGTGCCATGCCGGGCACCTTCGCCTTCATGTTAACAGAAAATCTCCAGTGCAGCTCTACTCCAAAATACTATATGTGGTTCAGTGTACAGGAGACCAGAACATGTACATCTTGTGTGCTGATAGCCTGTGATTTTTGTACTCCATTCAAAAGTCTGGTGCTTCCTTCCACATCTTTGACATAATTTCCTACTTTGTTAGTTGCTTGTGGGGAATACTATTAGAGGATGGGGTCAAGCATGTAATACCACAGTTTTGTTAGGGCAGTGTTCAGCTACATGATGTTAGTTAGATGTGCTTCTTTGTTTGCTTCTTGGATACTGAGAATGAAACGTAAGTTGTGTTGACTCAAATTGAGTCAAGCCAAAAATGGCTCACTTTGTTCTGTCTGCTGCTCTAACTTCTGATATTCCAAGCACATCATTGTTGGGTTGGAAGCTCAGAAGCACTTTTAGATATTCCTGAAACTGTGCCTTGATTTTTTTTATGTACAGCCTGTGCAACAGAGTCCAGAGTTAGACGTTTCTACAAAAAAAGTTGCAATTATTTTTTATTGCCGAAGCTTTTCCAACTGATTTCTACCTGACTTTAAGAGCTACTGATTTTGATTACCTTCTGCTTAATATTGCTGAATGTTAACTTAAATTTGTAAGGATTTTGTATGATGGATGGCAAGTGAAAACTTGTGTGCATGCAGATGATATTTGATATGTTCACTTTAAAGTTGTAGCTAAATTCCAGAGGCTTTTATTGATTCTTCTTCTTTCCTAGAATCGTGTAGAAATAAATGATGTAGACCCTGAAGTTTTTAAAGAAATGATGAGATTCATTTACACAGGAAAAGCACCAAACCTTGAAAAAATGGCTGACAATTTGTTGGCAGCTGCAGACAAAGTAAGTGATTGACTCCTAAGCTCTCAAACCTGATGTTTGTTTGTGGAATGTTCTTCTAACACAAAAAACCCCAAACCAAAACCTTTTTTCAGATTGATTTATATTTTGATTTTTTTAAAATATGAGAAACAGATCTCATCAGAAATGGAGGAAGATGGGAAAGAATAGACTTTATTTTTAGCAGTAAAAGGCTGATAAATCTTTCTTGACCAGGAGTGTTTCAGATATTAATTATATTTACTGTCCAATTTCTTCTAGAAATTGGGGTCTATTAATGTGATTTGGAAAATCGTTCTTGAATAAAATGTATCCTAGATCTTTGTATTCTTGAGAGGATTTATACAAGTGTTTGAGTTGACTGTGCTCCCGAAAGTACTGCTACTTCAGAACTTTCACCTTTTTGTCTTCCCTACAAATATAGTAGTTCTAATCTTTCATTTCCTCTGTATTGGGATCTTGTCTACTCTTTAAATAGTCACTTTCTGAAATACTTTTTCTACTATGATTTTTGAGGTGAGGGGACTTATAGCAGCACAGCAATTAAGGTGAGATTATTCCCTTTCATATCATAATTTACAGTTTTCTAACTTTTTAAAAACTTGACTCAATACCTTGTTTTTTTCTTCAGTGCTTTACAGCTTGAGTTGAAATTTTAGTTAGCTAGTCTCAGAGGACACACAGTTGTCTTTCCCTGAGGAGGCATAAGCAGTTTAGAATCCAGAAAATATTCACTTCAGTGTGTGTGGCAATTTCTTAAACTACCTTTGCAATTTCTGAATTGGTGTGCAATCATATCCATAAAACATTAGTGGTGACAGCTGCTGGTTTTCATAATCAATCCTAATATAAGTCGTTCTAAGATAATACAAGACATCCCAGTAGTTAATTTCAAGAAACAATTATTAAGCTGCCAGAAAAAAATTTATGTGTTCTATTTTTTTCAAGATCTCTTGACCTGGCACTACCCTGGCTTTGGTGACTTACCACTCATATTCTTTTCACCTCTCATTGCCAGCATCTCATCTTCTAAAACTGATGGTGTTTTGTCAAGTTTCAGTACACCCAAGCAGGAAGGTGAAATGGTGTTATTTTGTGAATGCTGGCCTTTATTTAGGGTGTAATTAATAAATGTAGAGAACTTTACATGGTACAGTTGTGTGATTACCTGCAATACCAGGAAATAAAAATGGTGAGCTAGGAGGTCCCTATGGCTTTTTGTAACAGTTAAAAACTGCTAGAAGCTTTCTGCTATTCCTTCTGAATGAGAAATAATAATTTAAAAATGAGTGTTCTGCATATTACCAAAGGCATTACACTGCTGTATTATCTGGTAGGTACAGATTTGTTACAATTGATATTTATTTGCTCTAAATAGAGCTATCGTGAGCAGTACTATAGTAATAAAATGGAAGTAAAAATGCATAGGTCTAGAAACATAGAAGTTAACCTGATAATTTGACTTTTCTTAAGTGACATTTCTTTGTTGCATAGAACAGTTGCCAATACCAATGTATTAGTGGCAACCTGAATATATGCCACTTGCATGTCTAAAATTCTTTTCAGACTTAAACTGTATCTGAAGGGTGCTAAACTAAATGGAATGGGTGAGATTCCCATAGAAATGTATACAGCTGAATGAAACCTGTTCAGACTATGACATCCTCAAAAAGGAAGCACAGTTTATTCATGCAAAATATAATATGGGCATGTAATTATTTTACATCAATTTTCCAGTAGGCTGTGTCAAAGGTATGGAAGAAATTGAGAAATTCAGAGATGGAGATGGGGCCAAACTTGGAACAAGCTAGTTTCAAACAGGCTAATGTATTTTCCCTTGGACAGTTTCATGAAACTTTCCATTGTATAATTTCTTGCCCCGCACTTTGAGATGTGAACCTGTCTAATGACAACTTTGATAAAGAGCCTGTGCCTGTTCCTTGCTCTTCCTCCGTAACCAAACTGAAGGAAAACAAAAACTTCTGAATGAGTTATTTTTGTTGTTTTAATAAAAGTTCTCCCAGTAAAGCATTTGATCATTTTCTGTCAAACCTAATGCATGCCTTACCATTTGAGGACTCTTCAGTGCAGCATATTGAATTTTGAATTACCTGTTTGGAAGCAGTTTGATGTTAAGCTTGGGAGACACCAAGCATTTTCATGACTGGAACTGTCTTAAAAACTGTAGAGATAATGGTAGAAAGAATGAGTTTGAAGAATGATTAGTGTAGTTTTTTCTTTTATCAGTATGCACTGGAACGGCTGAAGGTCATGTGTGAGGAAGCACTCTGTAGTAACCTCTCGGTAGAAAATGTTGCTGACATTCTTATCCTCGCAGATTTGCACAGCGCTGAACAGTTAAAAGCACAAGCAATAGACTTTATTAACAGGCAAGTAATATTTATGAGACTCTAAATATATTCGTATTTATGCTTTGTGTACCTTTTCAATATTAGCACAGTTCTCTCTTACAGGTGCAGTGTTCTTAGACAACTTGGGTGTAAAGATGGGAAAAACTGGAATAGCAAGTAAGTTTCCCTGCCTCGCGATGTTCTGTACAAACACTGCTAAATAGACTGCAGATCTTAAGAACTGTTGCTTCATTTCCACACTACTGAGGCCAGTCACTGACTGTAAGTAAAGCAGGATTCAGCAGATGCTACCCCAGTTATGATTGTGACTTCCCCTTTAAATGATAGGGAGAGTTAACTGCCCTCCAGTGTGATATCATAACAATAGCTGGTTTTCATTCCTCTCCTATGGATGTATCAGCACTGTGAGATGGTGGCAGCAACCTTTATAAAGGAAACCATTATCTTGACTAACCAGGTTTATGCCTGGAGGAGTGATAACCCCAGTGTGGTTTCAAGACTTGCTTAGGTCAATCTGAGCCTGCAGTATTTCCAAAGAAAGGAGGGCAGTTGCTCTTTTTGCCTGTGGCGACATGTTTGTGCACCTTCCTGCATGCCAGCACTAGTACTCTTGAGGCCACACAACTAGTCAGTCAGGTCCCTCTGATCTGGCTGACTCTGTAGGTGCTCATGCCTACGCTGGAAACATGTTGAGAATATGTGGCTCAGGCTGTAGGACTGATTGCAGCATATATTTAGAACAGCTCAAGTGAATCATGGAATAGAAGACAGCTAGCTTCACAATAGCCAGTGGTAGGCTCAAGCAGTAAAAGGACAGCAGAGCACTTATTTCTTATCATCAGAACCTCCAGAGAAGTTAAAAGATGTGTTGTACCAGTTACTTTAAAATCAGAGTGTTTCTCCTCTTAGAAAAAGAAGTCTTCACAGGCCTAATGGTTGAGCATGATGTGGAAAAGGAAGGGAGTGGCAGAAAGTAAGTACTAAAACAGTAGAAAAACTAATAATGATAAGTCAGAATACATAACAATGTAAACTAGTTAATGTGTTCCTTCTCAAGTGGTTTGGAATTTACTGAGCTGACTTCTGTCTTGGTTGATTGCTAGTAAAGATGCTGGTCATCTTTGCTTCAGCTAAAGCATCTACAGTAAATCAGGGGAAATAATATCAGAGGACCTGGCTTAATTTACTGACTCTGGGCACCAGGAAGTCTGAACTTCAGTATTGTTTCTCAAGGCACTTACCTTTGCTGAATTGCAGCAGAAGATTAAAGGCTTGCATTAGAAATCTGCAAAAGGTGGTGGGTTTTGTTTTTTTTTATTTTAGAGATAGTATAGTGTAGAGCTCAGCTCCTAACTTTATGCTTGACAGTGTTCCTGAAACAGTCTGAGGGTGCTCATGAGAGGCTTTTGAAAGTGCAGGGCAATGGAAACTTGGGATTGATGCATAAACTGTTGGTTCCAAATTACAAATTTGTCCTGTGTCAATGTGGCATGCATCCCAACCGGTGTAATATTCTTCCTGTGCAGAGTGAATTTTACACTTTTAGTTCACAAAAAAGTAAATATATACATTGTTTTAAATTTCCTGGATGTCAGCGTGACACTTGCTGAAATCTGTTGTTGCTTCTGTATTAGTTAAAAAACAACAGTGGTAATTGAAAGCCATTCTGAATGTAGTCCATGATCTTGTACTGAAGAAAGAGTGAATATTCTCAAGTATGCTCCACTGGTACTGAAACTGCACGCTCCCAGTGAAGGGTTCTGTAGTCAGCCAGCTAATCTGTGTTCATGGCTTTCTGGTATATGAAGTACATAATTTTTGCTGCAGTTTCAGCTGATTCATCTTTTCATCCTTCTCTCTCCCCAAACTGAGCATGCCCTTCTCTGTAATGAGATTATCATATCTTCCCTTGCTTTTCATCTCATTTTCTTCTAGACTTCCTCTTATTTTTATTGTTTTTCCTGAGCAATTTCGAGGCATTTATCTTAATACGGTGCCCAGTATTGGACACAGTTCTCTAGCTGAGCTCTTGCTGGTACTGAGTAGAGCAGAATAAGTACCCTATGTCCTACATGTGATGATACTAATATACCCAAATTGCAATTTGCTACTTCTTTCCAATGGCATCCCTATTGGCATTCATAAAGTCTGTTGTCGCCTAGTACTCAACTGCTCTTCTGCAGTAGTTCTGCCTTGCCTGCTCTTCTCCACTGTGCATTTGTGCATTTGGTTTGTAAAATTGTGTGACTATTCTTAATACTTCTGTTTTCAGCCAAGCAACAGACATAATGGAAACAGCAGGCTGGAAGTCCATGATCCACTCCCACCCTCACTTAGTAGCAGAGGCCTTTCGCGCACTAGCATCTGCACAGTGTCCACAGTTTGGCATTCCACGCAAACGGCTAAAACAGTCATGAAATCTTCCATGAACTTTAGAGAAATTGAATTGACTCTACTCCTCCATGTCCAGAGGTGTTTTCACAAACCATAACAAGAGTTTTTGTTATCCTTGTCCACAGAACAGAAGCTGAAAAAGCCTATTGTTTGCTTTTCAGATGGATAATTTATGGTTTAATCCTCAGCTTTAAATTAGACTGATTACTCTAATTCACTGAAAGGCCTTAAATTATCTTCAATGACTCTCTAGTCCATATAGTCTAATGTATCTTGATTTTTTTATTATTATTTTTTAATGTGCCTTGTCTTTTTGACTAGGCTCTGCAGGATTGCACTAGCTCCATAATGCAGTAAAGTTGATAACTGAAGATTAATTTTTGAAAGGGATCTTCCATTATTTTCAGAAGAAAAAAAAAAATGATTATAGTTTGGTCCTGTGCTAACTGGAAGGTTTTAACTAGCCTCTCATTAAAAGCGCTTGAACCAGAGGCACATAACGTACCCTAGACAAGTGCTAAATATAGGGAGAGCCTGTTTACCTTCAGCGAATGCCTACAGGCTATTTATGGCAATATACTGCTTCAAACATAATTTATTTTTCATTGTGGGGGCAAATATGCAATGGTTTGGCCCAAAAGTGTATTTTCATTACAGTTTGTAATGCTTATTGTGTGTGTGTCAAAGCTGTCCAAATGGTAAAAAGAAACACAGAATAAACCTCTTGCTTGTGTTTCTTTATGGTCCATCATTAGTTTACATTTAATGCAGAACTGAACGAGAGGTAAAGAGTTCAATGTGAAAACAGAATAGTATTGTATATGGAAAAATTATATCCCACATGTATGGTTACATAGAAGAGTAAAAAGGATGCATAGAATGACCAAATGTAAATTGAAGAAATGGGCCAAATGGATTCTGAATATGCACTTTTAATGTGTAACTTTTGTATGTTGTGTGGTACATATATATTTTGCTTTTGATGAATTAATGAGGTACAGGTAATTGTGGCTTAACTTTTTAGATACATTTTAAGATGCCCACAGCCACATGGGATTTAGTTTTGTTAGAAAAGAAAGGCATGTCTTTTTAAGACTCAATTGAAGGTGGCTATTGCAAGCTTTCATATTTAAGTAACAGAATATTTTCGCTTATTTGAAAAAGGCATGTGAATGGTAAAATTTTGAAGGGATTTTTCCCATCTTGATGTATGTGCACAGCTTCCGTTAACACCTAAGGAGGTTATGTACACATCAAGAGGAATATTTCCCTGAAATGTCAGATGATATTTGCAAGCAGAGACTTGCTCAGTCTTGCATTTCAGTTATTGTACTAGCATTGTGGATGGTATTGAAATTCTGCATAATGTGAAAAGGATGAAACATTTGTAAACTGCTTGTCATGGGCCAGTTCTTTATTATATGAACCTTAGCTTTAATATCAACATCCTCAGTGTTTGATAGCTTTGTTTACAATTGGGAGGAAAAGTCTGCAGTAGTGCACACTCTAAATGTTTCCTGAGTTATTGCATTGAGTTTACTGTAATAGTGATAATATGCTATATTTCTTTTTTGGGAAGACTTGGGTTTAGCAGTGGGGAATGGGAGGAGATCTCACCTAATTTATAAACATATTTGCATAAGGGTTTTAGTTTGCCTATTAAAAAAAAAAGTTACGCAGGGAGGAGAGGAAGAATTTCAGATTGTTTACTATCTTAAACTCTATCTCCATCCTCATTTCATTAAGGTTCATCTGAATTGCTCTGAACAAAATGATTTTCAGAGGAAAGAGTATATAGTTTTATACTTTGGCATCTAGTAAACCATTAGCAAAGGTAAATTGGAAAAAATGCCCAGTCCAGTTTTGAAGAATAAAATAACCTCTAAACATCCATTTTCTTCTTACCTTCTAACTCAGTCTTTATGATGGATAGAGTGTAAAATCAGAAACTTTAATAGTACATAAGGCATCAAATTATATATTTACAGAGATTTATCCTTTTATCAATTTTTAGATATTTATCTAAAATAAGGTCTCATAAGCATTCTTCACAATAAGATGTAAAGGTAATTGTTCCCTCCAAAATAGTGATGTTTTTGCTGCACTGTGTAATGCGTTAGGGCTATGTATCCTCATACTCATCACTGGTGAAACTTGCAGCTCTAACATACAAAGTGACTTGAATATTTAATGCTGTAATGATTGTCCAGTTCAGCTTGTTCTAAAGTAACAACATACAGTAATCAAATTGAAAGCTTAAGGACTTTTATGAAAACTTTGTTCTTTAGAAGCTTAATAGCACACTTTGTACCAAAAAATGTCAGGCACTGTGCTGTAATATTATCTACATTGTAGAGCATCCACTTTTCAAGTCAGGCAGTGACATTACACTAACAGGAAAAAAAGCAAACCCATGATAATTGATCTGTTTAGATTTGATTTTATTTATTATGTATGTTTTCAAGTTGTGTCAGCTCTTAAGAAAAAGGTAAAACAGTTGCTGTATTCTTAAGTGAGTGCACTAATTATTCACCTCTTCTATTCTTTAATTAACTACATGCAGTGTTCTCACTGGAACGGGATAGCTGGTAATTACAACCTTCTTCGGATTCAGTAGCTTGTTTTTATTCCCCACATCTCAAGAGCTTGCCCTTCAAAACCTCGGTTGTCAGTTCTAAGTGCAGCAGATATAAAACAATCTAATACAATGGACAGTTTTTTCAGGCTGAAATCTTAGGGTTTTTTTCTTAGTTTTATATACAGATTAGGAATATAATGTATGAAGGTGCCATGTTTTGGCTTGCCAACACTACTCCCTCAGATATATGTGAACCACCGCTTCCATACTGTTCTGGGGAGAACCCTGCATGTGTCCTGTGTGTGCGTGCGCGTGTGTGTATGACTGTGCGGTGTTTTTTGTCAAGAATGACTTTCTAAAAATAAGGACTCGATTTGCTGTTAAAATGCTATTATGTATTATATTTTTTTTTCCATTTGAACCTCTCCTAAGGAGATGCTTTGGGTGGAAGATGCTTCGATAAATAATCCTTATTTCCTAGTCCATTTACTGCATGCAGAAGTATGAACACATTGTGCCTTTTTTAGGAAACTGTTGTAACGAAGGGAAGATTTAATAGGATACAAGATCTTTTAAAAAGGTATTTTTAAAGGTGAAGGAGAACGCTATTTGATACACAATTGAGATGGAAAAGTTACAAATTACCCCTTTGAGCTCTGTTGCATGTTAATTCTTGCTTCCTAAATTCAGTTTCACTGAGGTAGAAACAACACAAAGTGGAGTATTACAGATACAAGTTGAGTAATGGTATATTTTTGTGAAAATGTGAAAATATTTGCTGTTACAAGATAAGTGTATGTCAAAATGTGGTAATCATGGACACAAAGTTAGTTTTACAAGTTACTCTAGTTCTGATGTTTTTCTAAATGTTGAGTATTTAGTATAAAATTCACCTTTGCACAGAAGGTCAGTAGAAGACCTACATGGAGATTGTGTTCCTTTTAAATCCTCATGGCAAGGTTTCTTCCTTGGGAGAATAAAACAATGTGCAGTATTTGAAACTGTGTTTCATACAAGACAGTGAGTTGCAAATGTGAGGTATTGCTACCTGAAATACTGTTGACTTTTACAGTTGGTTAAAATTACTAAACTTAATTGATTTATTTTTTGTAGGTGACAAATGGAATGTTAACTGTCCTCTTTGTCCAGTGTTGAAAGCATATTTTGTGCAGAGCTTAGCTCCTTAGCTAGCAAGACACTGACTTAGTCTCATAATTTGGCTTCTGCTTACAGTAAATGGACTACGTTTGTAAAGGGAATTCACTATTTCACGTGTTTTGCAAGGAACTTCACCGTATTTGTAACCTGGTTTTTGAAGGCTTAAGATCAATGAGTCCTATTTTAGAAATTAAACCAGTGAAATGACTTAGACCTGTTTTGGGGTGGAAATGATTAAGAGAATTCAGATATGTAAACAGTTGTATCAAACCATCCAGCCTTTTTTTATCAGCTGATGTTAATGGTGAAATACTTTTTGTACCTTGTTGCTGAAAATATTTTTGCATTTCAGCACATCAAGTTACAATAAAGTTGTTACTTATACAGAATGTGTCTGTGTGGCTTGTATTTGTTGTTTGGGTTTTTTTAATCCTCTGTATGTTCACAGTGGCTACCTTTGCTTCTCTCCTTTGAGAAAGGTATTTTACCAGCAGTGTCCAGTTTTACCAGTGTAAAAGATACTGCTGTCCTTTTGGAAGCCTTTTTTGGGGGAGGATCATATTGCAGTCTTGCCCTGGTCTCCAGTACCTTGGTTATTTTTCCATTTTGACACTTTCAAATAACTTAGAGCTCTGAACAGCTTATAACTTGCCTACCTGAGAGAAATGACTGCCTTTACACAGACTCTGTCAGAACCGATACTCTGTGGGAAGAAGAGTTGATCCTGTGGTAATGAAGATGGGCTTCATGGTTTGTAAGAGATTTGGTTTCTTTTTCCACCTACCATCGAAAACTTGTCTTCTGTTTTTTTGGGTTTGTTGTTTGTTGGGTTTTTTTCCCCCTGTCAAGGAGTATAGGCGTAAAATGACCACATAGAACAGGAATGTTGCTTGCGTTTGTTACAGGAGAAGTGATATGTAAGAATAATCTATATGGTTAGTTTGTGGGGTTTAATATGTTTATAGGTGTTTTGCTAAAATACGTAGGACTGTTAATGTGCTGCTCTATGTATTTGACTTTGGACACACTGAACTCCAGAAAATGACGATATCAAGGTAAGTTACTTCACAAAAAGTGACACAGGCCATTTGAACAAACACAATTACCTGTCTTGTGTTATCTAGGCTACAGCAAAAATGTGGCACAGTCAACTATTGCAGTTCTTCCTAAGGTGACTTGGGTAACAAATAAGGATACAGAGCTGTCATCACAGGGCTATCTTGGGTTTCTTAGCATAGCACATCGCTGTTTTGTGTGTAGGTACATGCACAATTCTCTATGTTTGCTTAAAACATACATCCCTTAAGTTACTCCGCAATGATTCAGCTTAAAGTTCTTGTGGAGTTTGTATCAACAGTGGCATAACTTACACCTTCCCAGGCAGTTTCAGTAACCTCCAAGCTAAAGGTGACTGGTAACCACTGTGAATGGTAAACAAAATTATCTGTGCAAGTCCAAATTATTGAACCGAGCTTCAACTTTTAGGTAAAGAATATTAAACTTCATTATTTCTTTTTTTAGAAAGCTATATTTTTATCCTTAGTCTTTCTGAAGTATTTTTTCTTGAGATGTTTATCTTGTCATCGTACAAAAGTTTTCTTTGTTACTCAGTGAAATGGATTCAATTAGCATTGCTTAAAAAAAGCACCTATTTTCATTCTAAAATTAAT